ATATGATGCTGAATCAGCCGGAGTTACACTCATCAAGTTTCAGAGTTACAGTCCTTTCAGTACCAAATGCCCTCTTTTATGTTTCCTTGTTCAGCTACAGTGGAGAAACCATAAGAAAAAGGAGGGAATTTCTAATTAAAAAGACAGTAACTGGGAAGACAGACAGTTGATTTGTTTCTACTCAGACTCCTGAAGGCTCATTAACTGCAGCTGAACTTTAATAAGGTATTTTCACATCAAGCAAGGACGGCAGATTTTATCCCCCAATTAGAATTGCATTAACACAGATCCCTTTATGGCAATGGTGGACAAAATGAACAGTTACAGTATATAATTGTATTAGGATTCATTCAAAAAATGTGATCCAGTCCTTTACCATCAAGCCCATTGATAGTTTGCAGTTATGCAGTATTAATTTAGTGTTTTTAAGTTGGATCAAAATGTAAACATGCAAAACTTTATTGTTATGCAGTCCGTCAGTCAGAAGAACTGAGAATCCACCTTTGATATTAAGCTGCACTTCACCACAGCTCATTGTGAATCCAAATTAAAGCAGGGGTTCAACTATGCTTAGCAATTTCTTGATTTAAAAGCCACATGTTGTTCTAAATTTGGGTTAAGCCTAACAAAACTCATGCTACATTATTTTTAGCTGTAGTGGCTATAGTAATGTTTGTAAATTGCATTTTCAGACTGTCTCCTGTCAGATATTGGCTGAAATGAAAACATACAAGTATGTTATGGAAAAAGACAGTCTTTTGTGACATGTCTGTTTAGGGAAAGTACTTTCTACCTGCAGAAGCCATCTATGTAACATTGTACCAGATGGGGGAGCCAGTCCATTTACTTACAGACAGGATGGTTCCTTAGTACTTTCAGTTTGGTTGTTACTGTACACCGCCTCTTCATTGCTTCAAAATAGAAAAGCACTGTACATTCATCATTTGGGCTAGTTGTCGATCTGAAGTGGAGTCGTTAATTTCTTGATTATTTCATGTTTATAATGTTTTGAGTTTTTGAGGCACTGACATGGGTTGGCATGGGTTGGAGTTCTGAATATTTCCCTGACACCCACTGAAACTAAGTTGAACACATTATTTAAATAATTGGCAACTTACATTTTTGATTGGTTGGTACTGTTTTTAGACTTGATAATGGTTTAGTTTATCATTCTGCCAGATACATTTCTTTCCCAAGTGCTAAAAATACAGCACTGTTTCTTAAAATGACAGGGCTAAATATTAAAAAAATTTATTCACATTTAAATATTAAATAAGACATTTTGAAATAAATAATAATAATAAGAAGAAAGTCATAATGAAAGATAAATTCAATTTATTTTAAATGTTTTTATTTCATGCTATTTTCGCCAAATTTCACAAATTTTCATCATAGCCTTTGCCTTTTAATTAAGACAAACAGGACAGAGCAAGTTAGATAATTGGCTGTCAGCTCATTCAGACCAATATTACCATACCAATACCATATTGAACACTTATCCATATTATACTATACAGAAAAGGGCAAGGTTTGATTTGAATAAAACTATGGCTGTTGTAAACATACTCAAACTCACCAAACTTTGCACATAAGTCAGGCGGGGCGAAAAATTTTGTTTTTTATGAGTTTCGCGCATGGGCGTGGTGAAATGGCTCGCTAGCGCCCGCCTACAGAGCAGCCCCCAGGGAAAGTTTCACCTATGTGTACGAAATTTCTGTGGTATCTGTATCATGTCCAGATGTACAAAAAAGCCTCTTGGAGCGATGCCCTAAACCCAACAGGAAGCCATTTTGAATTTTATGGATGATTTACACTCTCCATACTTTAACAAACTCCTCCTAGAGAATTAGTCTGACCGACTTCAGATTTTAGCTGTCTAGTTTAATCCCACTGATTATTAAAAACAAAACGATAAGTTTTCGTGAAACGGTGTGCACATGGCGTCCAAAATCAATGATCCGCCATGAAAGAGGAAGTTGTTGTAACTTCAGTGTACATGCTCACATCTGCACCAAACTTTATGTGCTTGGTAACAGTCACGACCTGAACACATGTACATGCCAATATTCAGTTATAGTCATAGCGAAACCCACAAAGGGGGCAGAGGAAGTGATGATTAACACCTTTGCGCAGTGTCCGAAGTGCGTGGCAAATTCACAGCCGCACTGGCAGAGCTCCAGAATCTGCAACCTGACCGCCTCACACCTTCAAGCGCTACACGTGCGGGTGCCCGCCCAACGCTGCTTGCAGCTTTAATTTATATTTGTTATTCCTCTGTAAGTGAACAGCTTTTTACCTTTTCTGTATGTATGCTGCAACTCAGGTTTTCTTAAAACATAAACTTATTTAAGAAGAGAATAACTTTTTTACCTTGAGCACATCAGCATCTGCTAGCAATTTGGAAGATGGCTAGATTGGTTGTTTGTGAACTGCTTGTTAGGGATGGAGACTTGGAGGGCTGGTCGAGTTGAGGCTGGAAAATAGTTGAGCCTCTGCTAACCTGTGTCAAAACTTGATTAGAAAATGGTTAGTTAAGTAGAGCTAAGCAAATGCGTATTATTTAGTGTACTTAAAGGATCATTTCGGTATTTTAAAATGATAGTAGGTACAAAAAGTTTTGCCTTGTACCGTGTCCGAGCACGATTGTCCCCCCTCCCCACTCACCTGTCTAACTATTTGAGCCAGAGCACGTTTACGTCGTCTCTTCAGTGTTTCACATACATTGATTTATTTGTGGTGGCCTACCACAGTATCAACACCGACCACCACATATTGATAATAAGGATAGCTATGTTAACATTAGATCACAGCTGTATGTTAAAGAACTGCTGGACAGCTGGCAGACATTTTTTGTTTTATTTTCAGAATGTCTACGTCTCCACATCGTTCCTTGCCTTTAGAAAGACATAATTATTGTTTCAGTGCCTAAAAATAAAGCTCCAGAGTCTCTTAACGACTATGAAGACTTTAGAGAAGATTGTGAAGGACGAACTTTTGAACTCTGTCCAGGATCAACTGGACCTGTTTCTGTTTCCTCATGTTGAGGGTGCAAAGAGCTTTGTGCGGCTGCTTTTTATTGAGTTTTCTTCAGGTTTTAATAGCATCCAATCACATATTTTAGCAGGGGTTTTAAAGAGTACTTTTAATATCGGTCCTAGTCTTATCTGTTGGTTGATGAACTTTTTAACTAACAGGTCTCAACTCAGGAGAGTGAATAGCATTTTATCCGATGTTCTCTTTTCCTCCACTGGTACCCCCTCAGAGCTGTGTCTTATCCTGTGTACAGGGTCACGGGGGGCTGGAGCCAATCCCAGCTGACATCAGGCGAAAGGCGGGGTACACCCTGGACATGTCGTCAGTCCATCGCAGGGCTCCATGTGGCCCAGCATAAATAAATCTGATATATGACTTAGATTACGTTCAGACTGCAGGCCAAAGTGACCCAAATCTGAATCTGATCTTTTCCAGTCTGGATTTGGGCGACTTTGATATGTGGTCCAAATCCAACACAGATCGGATCTTTTGAAATGCAACCTGAGTCTGCACATTCAGGTCGGAATTGATGCGACTTTGACATCACTCTAGAGCAGCTGTTGTCACTGTTCTGCTGTAGACGGAGCCGCTATGAACAAAAAAGCTCTACAAAAAGCCATTACAAACATGTGGCTCTCTTTGTTCTTTACCTTGCTATCATCTGCTCACAAATTCCCTAAAATCCACCGGACTGCGACCTGTCTTCTGAGTTACATGCATGCTACTTGTGTCCTTGCCGACATAGTGGAGAGAGAGGTAATGTTAGTGAGTTGTGGGGCAGATGCGTTGTACAGCACAAGAAACTGTAATGAAAAGAACAGAAAGTTGTGAACACTTCGGGAGAAATGCTACAAATGATAGATCATCATATCGCACAGCTCTACTGACACATGTATGTGTCGTGGAAATTTTATTCCAGGTGAGAGGTTGAGCAAATAATTGAGTTACAACAAACCGTTGTCTTTGAAGAATTTATTTAACAAAAGAGAATAAACAGAGAAGTACTACAACAAAATCAGCTGGACCAGAGGTTCTGTCTCTGTCTCTCTGTCCAGAGCAAACAATTGCATGATCATTTACACAGTCTGAGCATCTATGTTTTGGGGAACACAAGATCCTTGACTAGTCCCTGTCAAGGAAGGAGAAGAACAGCTAGTGAGGAAAACAATCAACAACCCCACATCCCTGACCTGAACCCCACACATGTGGACAGACTGGAATAACAAGAATAATAATAAAGATGGAACAGGTTAAAGATTTAAAACAATATATAAGACATAATAACAGGAGAAAAATAGCACTCTTAGAAGTACTTGCATAAAAGATAAGTGTAAGAAGAAAACTATTTTCTGCCCTTACAGTATTATGAGACGAAGGGAGAGAGCGAGCACTGCAGCCAGATGTATGTGGGTGAAGCTAGCAGTCTCCAGCTGAAAGGTTTTTTTTTTCTTATTCACTCTATCATGGTATAAATGTGAGGACATCAAAGAGGCCCTCTTTTTCACTCCACAGCTCTTCCAGTTTGTCCTTCTTTTCTTTTCAAGTCCAAGACTTGTTGACGTTCTTGCGCCTCCCCAGAGTCCCCCCATGTTTACTATCTACCCGGTAAGCTGCTTCCTATTTGATGCCGGAGAGGGGCCACGTCTGAGTTGTTGACAGTGTTAAGTCATTGAGTGTTACTATTTAGATGAGCCAAGACGTAAAACTTATGATATTAATCATGTTTTATTTTTTTGGATGACATCAAGAAGAAAAAAAGGACTGACTTTAAGGCCACCTTAATATAAACGACAAAAATGACAGGAGCTTGCCATATTCCGACATTGGAAATTTGTCTTCAACAGTGACATTGCTTGAAAAGTCGTTTGGAGTAAGGCCGACATAAGATGGTTTGGTCGACTATTAGTGGGCAGAAGACTGAATTAACAGATATTGTCATGATGTTTACCTTCTTCTTCTTTGTCTAGTGTATGACAGTCAAGGGTTCCTTCTGAAGCTAGATGGTAGGCTGTGAGTATATATTTTACTAGTTTCACTTCTACTCAAAGGGCTTGTTTTCAGGCTCAGTAGTGTATTAACCAGCACTTCTGAATTGTCCCTACTGTTATTTAAAGTATTTGTGCAACAATTAGTGTATACAGTAATTTGTGTGTGAATATTAAATGACTGCTTGACTTAATTTTCCATGTCTACAGGCCTTTGGAGCTGATGTACAAGTACAGCAATCTCAGTGAGGGAGCCTGTAAGCCTGGTTTTGCAGCTGCCAAGATGACTGCCATTTATCCAAAGTAAGAATACTTACCATATCTTTATACACGTTTAAAGTGACCGTGTAGCATTTTAGACTTCAAACGTAATTGTCAGATATGTTGTGATAAGTGTGATCCAGATATCCTGTTAACTTATTTAGTCTTTACACATGTCCCTGAAAATGCATGATATCAATCGTATTACAAAATGAGATTGTGGGTTATTACTGTAGAGAGTCCATTGTTGCTGTCTTCAGACACTTCGAAGCTACATTTGTTATTACAGTGAATATGTTTTCCTACCGTAGCAATTTCCAGACTTAACAATTTGATGGTAGAAACTCAACAAATCACATAAATGTTTTAAAGGCAAAAAGTTACAGTGTAATATTAAAAAAATATTGATACTTAAGCACTAAATGTACAAGAATAAATAATTGACACTGTAAGGTGTTTTTATTGTTTTGTTCACCCCAGTTATATCAGTGAGGGCAGGTTAAATTACACCAACAAAAATAATACTGTCAAAAGCTAGCTAGTATGGGTGGGGCTATTCGTCAACGTAATCGATTACGTAAATACGTCGACTCGCATTACGTGCCTTGAAGTGACGCTGCAGTATTTTAGACAGACACTCAACAACATGCTGCTCTGTGAGCTCTGTAAATTGGAAATAGCTTCACTGCAGTACAACTGCTGTCCATGAATACGTGAGGATGGGAGGGGAATACCAATGCGGAGGATGTGATTTTGAAATTCTGAAAGAACTGGAGTTTTTGGTTAGTTTCCCCCAGGACACTGATCATCAGTGATGGCAAGTTTTTTTCCGAACATTGTAGTCTGCTGCTCTGATTTATTACGTAAGGGTAGAATATAAAAAAATTAAATAAAATAGATAAAACCGTGTGTGTGTGTGTGTATGTATATATTAATAGACAAAAAATAAGAAATTAATAAAAAAAAAAGAAATTTAAAAGCAAAACAATTACTAAAATAATAAACAATCAAAATAATAAATATTTGAAAATCAGTACAATTATTTATCAGTCTGAGTTTTCACTAGTTGTCCTCACTTCATGGCATGAGGAGACATGTTTTGCAGCAATTATTTGACATTTGGGCATTCCTCCCAGTAAATATGGAAGTTTCTGTGTGTCTGATATAAATTCGAATTCAGGGTATATTTGGGAAATGTTTGCAAAGTTGTTTTGTCTTAGTGTTTTTTTATTTAGGGCATGAGGTTAAAAAGTGCAGCTCTGTCTCTACCTGTCCCTTGTCACACTGGGAGCAGAGTCTCTCCTCTTGTGGTAGCCAGCTCTGTCTGTGGCGACACTTTTCTATGGTCAGGCTTTGTTCACTCAGTCTGTATGTTGTCAACATTTTATTGTGCTCAGGTAATTTGCCAGTTTGAATTCTCTTTTAGGATCAGATAACATCGTAATTTACTTTGTGTTTTGGTCGTTTCTTTCTAGTATTCAATATATTTTTCTTTCTGCTTGCTGATAATTTGGTTTGGTCTGCTTGAGTTGGTGTTGCTGTCCTGAGGCTGTTGGGGACTTGTTACTGCAGAGAGCCTCAGGACCAGCTGGCTGAGGGGACTCTTCTCTGGTTTTAGCTCCTGGTATGTTCGGACTTTGTGATGCTATGATGCAAAATGCTCTTTTCACACAGACATCGTTCCACCTCAAAGGCGGATCAATCGGACCCCCCTTTCCGGCTCGGTACCTTTCACACAGCGAGCTGCTGTTTTGGCATAATAATCCTGGAAAATTGGGTAGTGTGAAAGTGCCTATAGATTGAAGAGAATTGGACTGAGATGGCATCCCTGCCTCACTCGCCGGCCCTGGGAGAAAAACGCTGTTTGTTTGTTTCCAATCTTGATGGCACATTCACTTTTTGTATACATGTTCTTAATCAAATGTTTTTCCTCCAATGCCACTTTCAAGTAGCCTATAGAAAAGGCCCTTGCCAGAAGGAATCAAAGGCTTTTTGGAAGTTATATTGGAAACACATTAATTAAACTCAACATCAAACTATATTGGTATAAATGGTATTGTCTAATTTTATATTTTCTGAAATTATATATTATATTGTAGCTCCTTTAAAGGAATAGGGCAGTGCATAATGTGTGTGTGTAGTGAGTGTGTGGATGAGTGAAAGAGCGCTAGAAAGTGACGGTGAAAGGGAACAGAGCAGAGGAAAAGATTAGCAGTTATCAGTCTGGCAGTAAATGTACAGTACGGTGTAGGTTACTAATTATAATTCAATTTTCAGCTCAAGCACCCAGTCCGGGCAGAGGGATCTTTCCCCCTCACAATGACAAAAGAAGTGCTTTGAAGGAGTTTTGTTAGTTATTGCAGGGTTTACAAGAGTTAGAATAGTAGCATGGTTTTATATGTTTTGTGTATGTATTGTAGTAAGTCTATAGTTGCCAGGGGCTCTTTTAGTGGCAGTTGCCTACCTTACCTAATGGTAAAGTCCACCCAGTGATTGTGGTGCTCTGGAGAGCCACATAGTTCACCTACTGTATGCCTAATAGCTCTCTGTTCTCAAAGTGGTGTGATAGAGGAAAGATCCCATTTCTGTCTCTGCATTATTAAAGGCCAAAGAAGTCCCCACACCGTGAAAGCCCTACAACTGCTTATGTTTTTAGCACTATGTATAAAGTGATTCAGAATATGCAGTGGTATGAATGGGCCCATGTATTGTGTAGATCTATTTTTGTCCTCTTCTGCTCTGCTGTTGTCCCTGTGCGTGAGAAAACCTCAGGCCAGTTCACTTATCTACTTACTCTCTGAGCACCAGAGGCACGCAACCCTCAAACCCACCATGGCCTTCAGACAGCAGCGTTAATGAAGTGTGCTCAGAGTCCAGATTGTAACCTGTTAAAATAACACAGGAGGATTTTCCTCAGAGGCCTGGGGCTCCTTGACCCATTTTTAATTCTCTTCTAATTTATATATCAGGGATGTGATTTTTCCGGATTAATCTGGAATTCCTGATTTCCAACCTGAAAATGTGACCCACGTGAAACCTGCAGATCCGTAGAAAAATATGTTATGGTCATGCTAGCTTCTCTGTCCGCTCTAATATATGCTCAGCTTTGTACTTTTTGTTTAATGTTATAATATTGCAGTAATACACTCATTTCTACTAGCTCCTCCTCCAAGTTGTCACAGTAGCCCGATCCAGGATGCCATTGTGCCAACATGTGCTGCTTCTAGCCGCCTCCTCCTGAGAGCAACACATTCCCCTTGTTCTGTTTTACTGAAGTTATTGTTATAAATTTTGTTTATGGTGGCTTGGGTTTGTAGGTGTTGCTAGTGTAGGTTTTTTGCCAATCACATGCCTGAGATAGGCGGTAAATCCTAACAGAAGTGATCTCAGGGCATTTTTATATTATAGAGTTGGGCTAGACTTTTTTCCTTAATAATTTATTATTATTTAGAGAGACTCAACAATTCATACCATGAGCAAGCACTTGGCAAAGGTGGCAAGGAAAAAGTCCCTTTTAACAGGCAGAAACCTCGACCAGAACCTAGACTCAGGATTGGTGGCCAACTGCCTCAACCGGCTGTTCAGTCAACTTCAACTAATCTAAATCATAATCTTCCAAAAGAAGCCCAGTTCTCAGTAAATCAAATTCAGTCAAATAGGAAACACCCATCTAGATTACACCCTATGTTATGATTACCTGGGGTTCAAAATTAGTGCCTCAGTTTGAAATGAAAGGGACGTGTGGTTACGGAGATATAAAATGAATGTATGGCTATGGGAGCGTTATTTGATATACGAATGATAACGCCACCTAGAGGCCGACTGACACCAAATTTTGCACAGCTCATCAGGGGGGCATACTACATAAGGTCCTCAAGGTTGGTGTTGATCGGCCATTCCAAACCTAACAAATGACACTTCCTGTTTTTGGTGTTTTGTGCAAATATGTGTTAGCTTATAATTCGAACAGTTTTTCATGTATCGATCTAGGGAGCACAAGCCTGTATCAGCTTGGTCCAGAGATGGTGCGTGTCAAGTTTGGTGCAAGTTCGGACTTGCGGCTTCGGAGGAGTTAATCAAACTAGGTTTTTCAGTTTTCGCGATTTTGCGGGAAAAAAAAGTCTAGGCGGAAATGTGCGTGGCCTATACCAGGAGATTCAGCTCGATCCCCCGAACGCGTGGATATAAGGTTTTTGCGCCTTTTTATAGGCGGGAGTTCCAAAGCCAAACGTGTTGACCTTGCTTATAGCGCCCCCTAGAGGTAGAAGTGTGCGAATTTTTGTGCCTGAGGTACTTGCAGGGGTTTGGACCTACCCTATGAGTTTTGCGTCCCTAGCATTTACCGTCTAGGCTGCAGTATTGGAATTAGCGGTGGAAGAATAATAATAAAAATCCTAATGATTACAATAGGGTTCCCAGCCGCTTCGCTGGTACTGGGAACCGCGATGCCTTGCATTCACTGGTTCCCAGCCCACTTAGTCTTTCCTCAATTACTCAAAATTCCAGCTCATGTTTTTTGAATTTGCTCAAAAAGAAACAAACTGGCTTATCCACTCCCAAATAGTCAGACTGTAAAAATACTGCTCCTCTGCCCACATAACTTGCATCTACCTAAGGTTTAAACTGCATTGCCTCCTAAACAGGCTTTAACCCTAACCCTAATAAGGGCTTAAACATTCTAAAACATATTCAGCCTTAGCCTTCAGTGGGTTTGTAAGGGGCGCAGCAACAGTGGAAAAAATCCTAAAAAAACAATAACTGATCCAAAGACAGCCCCTTTTTAGTTGTGGAGCGGGACATAGTCACCTTTGCATGCAGTGGACACACTGACTTGCCCCACCATCTGACTGTGGACGATGGACATCCCAATCATCAGAGTAAGTGACCACATCATCCAGACATAAAGAATCTTCCAGATCTCCGACAACCATATACATTAGGCGTTGAAAGGTTTCCAGGGGGTTACACTAACCAAAGGGCATCACACTATATGAATATAACCCAGTGGGTGTCAAGTCAGCTAGTTGAGTGTGCTTGGAAACCTCCAAATGTCTTAATAAACCATCCAGATTCCTGGCTTCATATGGCCCTAATAAGTCTTCTCCCCCCTTGCTCTGCAACAGAATGAAGGAATGCAGACATTGACAGACATTCCTGATCGTCTGATTGGTGTGCACGAAAGTAGTATGGCTCTAAATAAGTTAATTAGGAAAGCCACACACCTGTCTATATAAGACCTTACAGCTCACAGTGAATGTCAGAGCAAATGAGAATCATGAGGTCAAAGGAACTGCCTGAAGAGCTCAGAGACAGAATTGTGGCAAGGCACACATCTGGCCACGGTTACAAAAAAATTTCTGCTGCACTTAAGGTTCCTAAGAGCACAGTGGCCTCCATAATCCTCAAATGGAAGACGTTTGGGACGACCAGAACCCTTCCTAGAGCTGGCCGTCCGGCCAAACTGAGCTATCGGGGGAGAAGAGCCTTGGTGAGAGAGGTAAAGAAGAACCCAAAGGTCACTGTGGCTGAGCTCCAGAGATGCAGTCGGGAGATGGGAGAAAGTTGTAGTAAGTCAACCATCACTGCAGCAATCCACCAGTCGGGGCTTTATGGCAGAGTGGCCCGACGGAAGCCTCTCCTCAGTGCAAGACACATGAAAGCCCGCATGGAGTTTGCTAAAAAGGACTCCAAGATGGTGATAAATAAGATCCTCTGGTCTGATGAGACCAAGATAGAACTTTTTGGCCTTAATTCTAAGCGGTATGTGTGGAGAAAACCAGGCACTGCTCATCACCTGTCCAATACAGTCTCAACAGTGAAGCATGGTGGTGGCAGCATCATGCTGTGGGGGTGTTTTTCAGCTGCAGGGACAGGACGACTGGTTGCAATCGAGGGAAAGATGAATACGGCCAAGTACAGGGATATCCTGGACGAAAACCTTTTCCAGAGTGCTCTGGACCTCAGACTGGGCCGAAGGTTTACCTTCCAACAAGACAATGACCCTAAGCGCACCGCTAAAATAACGAAGGAGTGGCTTCACAACAACTCCGTGGCTGTTCTTGAATGGCCCAGCCAGAGCCCTGACTTAAACCCAATTGAGCATCTCTGGAGAGACCTGAAAATGGCTGTCCACCAACGTTTACCATCCAACCTGACAGAACTGGAGAGGATCTGCAAGGAGGAATGGCAGAGGATACCCAAATCCAGATGTGAAAAACTTGTTGCATCTTTCCCAAAACGACTCATGGCTGTATTAGATCAAAAGGGTGCTTCTACTAAATACTTAGCAAAGGGTCTGAATACTTATGACCATGTGATATTTCAGTTTTTCTTTTTTAATAAATTTGCAAAAATTTCTACATTTCTGTTTTTTTCTGTCAAGATGGGGTGCTGAGTGTACATTACTGAGAAATAAAATGAACTTTTTGATTTTTGGAAAATGGCTGCAATGAAACAAAGAGTGAAAAATTTAAAGGGGTCTGAATACTTTCCGTACCCACTGTATATATAATCTGTGAAGAGCACAGGGCAATTAGCAAGACACCCCCGTCTTGCTAATTGCCTATAATTTCCACCTGTTGTCTATTCCATTTGCACAACAGCATGTGAAATTGATTGTCAATCAGTGTTGCTGCCTAAGTGGACAGTTTGATTTAACAGGAGTTTGATTGAGTTTGAGTTACATTGTGTTGTTTAAGTGTTCCCTTTATTTTTTTGAGCTGTGTGTGTGTGTGTGTGTGTGTGTGTGTGTATGGCCATTCGATCCTCAGCTGCTGTTGTTCGCAA